AATCAAAATTAAAACATTTTTTGACTCTAGATGACATATATACATATATACACACAGACATATATATATCACTCACACATATATACAAAGATGTGTATAACAGGGTGTTCGCTGTAGCATTTTTTATAAAAGTGAAGAATTACAAAATACTAAAATATTCAATAATAAATTAAGTAAACCATTGTGTATTTATACTGTTTTATACGGAGTCATTAAGAGGAAGGAGGTAACTACATATTTACGTGGGAACTTCTGCATCTTATTATGTTTATTTTTTTTAAAAAAAAATCCATTTATGTAAAGCTCAATTATGTAACATTTTATTTTGTAAAGTTACATTATGTAAGTTCAATATTTGTAAGTAAGTAAATAAATAATAAATGATCACATGTCACCATACACGAATCCTTTTTTTTTTTTTTTTGTCTTTTTCCGTGTCCGGCAACGGATCGCAACCCTCAGTGTCGCACCCGTACCGGACCGGGACCGGCAACGGGATCGCAACCCTCGGTGTTGCCCCCGCGCCTCGCTCAGCCAGTGAGCGGGAACCGGTCTGCACGTGGGATCCGAACCCTTGGCGGGAGCGCCTCCGCGCTTCCCAAGCGGCGCACTAGCGCAGTGCGCCACCGGGCCGGCCCCTACAAGAATCCTTTTTTAAAAATAAAAAATACCAGACTGGTAGCAGTGTTTAATCTGAAGAAGTGAAAAGAATTGAGGAATCAGGGAGAGAATAAAGGGGAAACCTGAGTATTGTATTTTACAGACAGTCTAGTTTTAAAATATTTTATATTTTAGATATGTTTTTGCTTTGTGTAATAAATAATAAAAATCTAAGGGAAAAAGCAAACCAGAGAGAAGTTATAGGTCGTTTGAAAGACAATAGATAATGATTTATTTGTAATTCTCAAGATTTCAGTACCTGGGGTCTTGATATTATGTGAAAACACACTTGTTGACATTTGTATGAACAACTTGTGGATAGCTTTTTAAATTTAATCAATGCCATTTTTTAAAATTATGTAGGGATTCTGTATTTTCTACTATGTGTAAAAGGATACACAGGATAGTTCCATTTTATAAATCTATTGTTTAAAAATAAATCTTCATAAGTAATATAATTCCCTTAAATTATTCATAAATATTTCACCCTTTAGGTTGCATTGAGTTTTGCATCTGTGAGTTTAGCTTATTGTACCTTTTTCATAATTGCAGATTTGTTCTTCGGATAGTCATGACTAGTAGCAATATTCATATATTATTTCAGGGACATCAGCAATTTATACTTACTTTGGATTACTTTAGATTTATTTCTTTTCCATCTTATTCTCTCTGGTCTTTTTTATTACTTTCCCTAAAAAATTATTCATATGCTCACACATACATATATCATGGTAGACACAATTGTTATTTGTATGTGTATATGCATTTAAGTGTATCTATGTATGTCTGTGTGTGTATATATATTTTTCCTTACCAGGCTTGTAATATCTTTTAGCATATTGTGAACTAAGTAATTCCATTTATTTATCTTACTCAGGACCAGGTATATTGTAGGCACTTACTAGACTAAAACATTGCTTTATTTACATAAATCTTTATTTCGTAATTTCTTTTCTTTCTATTTCTCTTAAACCACACTTTTTTTTTTGCATTTACTTTAAATTTACCAATACATTTTTATCTTCTTTGTGGCATAGATCTTTTCAGTATTTGAACACTGAGAAATTTATATCAAATATTCTAAACTAAAAGACATGGTAAATCAAGAGAACCAAAATTTAATAAAACAATTTTTTTTTCCCATGGTGTTAGATAGGGAAAGAGTATGCACTTTAGAGTCAGAGATTTAATTTAGAATTTAAGGTAAACAATTTAAACTTATTGAGCTTCAGGTATTTTTTCTTATTCAATATATCTTCTTATGCTTTGGAGATATGTGCAGTAGTCAGTGTGGACCACAGTGCCCGGCATGCAGGAAGGGCTTGGCCAAATGCTGCTTTTCTTCTATTCTTGAATTTCTAAAGATATCTGAGAAATAAAATGTAATATTCAGCCAGAATTATATATATTTTTTCAATTTGACAGTGAAGTTAGATGTACATGCAGCATTTGCATAGAAGATAAAGTCATTTATTTTGCCATTTTAAAGCTATTGGTTTTGTCTTTTTAATCATTATGACTGTTGAAGCAAATCTCTCCCTACAGGAACAGTAAAGAAACATGAAATAATCTGAATTATTCACGTTTATAAAATGGCTGATGAAAGCTCAAACCTTTTGAAAATGGGTTTTGTAAACCAAATTTTAATTATCAATTTAAAACTTGTCTTAGATGGTAACATAATTTTTACAGGATCAAGTATGATATGTTTACTGTAAGTCATTGTATCTGAGAAAATTCAATATTAACAGTTTATTCTAGAAATACGTTAATATTGTCTCTTTTTTCCTCCAAATTCTAGGAACAATATGAATTATATTGTGAAATGGGGTCCACTTTTCAGCTATGTAAAATTTGTGCAGAGAATGACAAAGATGTCAAGATTGAGCCTTGTGGGCATTTGATGTGCACCTCTTGCCTTACAGCGTGGCAGGTATAATCTAGGTTTAATTAGCAACATGGATATCTTCCTGATATTCCCTGTTAATATTTCTCTATTCAGTTTTCTTCATCTTAATCATTCAGGAAGTAATACTGATACTTGCTTTATTTGAATACTACATGCTTTAGTTGTTTAAAAAATTCTCATAGGTTTGAGTTTCTTTATATAATTTGATTTTTTTACTGTGTTTTATATATTGTTTCTTTTGAATGTATAGCTTAATTTTATATTATTCATTCATAAGTAGTTCTAATTCTATAGTACCATTGATTTCAGGATGTCACAGATATTATCAACTAATCATATTTATGCAATTTATTTTAGGTCAAATTCTCTTTGCAGTAGTTCAGATTCTGAAGGAAAGTAAACTGTAGTAGATAAATCATATGTTGATGTTTTCACTCCTACTTCTTCTATCCTGAGGAGCTGTGGCTCCTATCTTACATATATGTCTGTGGTTGCTTTGTAGAGCTAAAATAGGAGAATGAGACAGGAAATGTCTCCCAAATACTTATAGTTCCCACAGAAACAGGCATTAAAATTCCCCATTTGTAGAGCAGATTCTGTGGCAAATTGCCTTCCTATATGTAGGCAGGCATTCAACAAATATAAATTGATTTGATGTGTTATAATAAGGCCTATAGAGTAACTGGTTTCCCCAAGGACTTTCTTATATTCCTTTATTTGTAATAAAGGTTGGGGATTTCAAAATGGATCTTTGGACAGGTTTCCTGGTTTGAGTATTTGAAGTATTCACAGAATATTTGATCAAGGCATTTTGCAACTGCTCTTTAACACAGTCATATTGAATCTAGAAATATGTTGAGGTTCAGAAAGCAAATACCATAATTAAATTTTCAAGACTTTTTAAAAAAGAATTATGGTTGCGTGTGGTCAACATTCCTGCCCTATTCTTGAGCCCTCTCAGTCCTCAGTCATCTCTCTCCAACCCTGATCCTGTGCATCAGCTGAAGAAGAGTGGTCTTTGGGACTCATGGAAGGGGCTGACAGGCTCAGAGGGGCATTGATGCCTGTCGAGCTTTTACTTGTGATAAAATACAATGATTTTCACATTTTTGTAGTCTTACAAAAAGGGCCTCCTTTCTTTGAGGAGATTAAAAAAATAGTGTGTGTGTGTGTGTGTGTGTGTGTGTATCCTTGTCCTTATTTCCTTTTACCCCTCATGATGTTGGTGAATTTTGCATAGTACAGGGAGGTTTTGGAAGAAGTATGCTCAGTGTGGCATCAACAAAAATCATTATCAACATACAGGCACTTATTGCGATAAATAAAATTTAGATATGCTGGTAGAAGACAAAACCATCTGTTTGTAGGTTATGCTTCAAATTTATCTGTAGAAGGTATTTTAGGGATGTTGTTGAGTGAGTGACAGACTGACTCAGAGGGGACTACTGAGGACTGGTTTACCTGTTACCCATTCAGTATTTCAGGATAAGTCCTAAACTGACAAAGAGGCCACATTGTGTTTGTCACTCCTTTGGATTGACTCATGCCTTCAGTGTGGTAGTATGGTTTTCACAAGTACAAAGAAATTAAAAGCTTTGCATTTGTACCTAAAGAAAACCAGAATTGTAGGCTGGTACAAACTCCTGTTGCACTTTGCATCCAGGCAGGGCCTGGGTATTTCAGCCATTTGTCTTGGGGCTGCAATTTTAGAGCATGACACGTATACATGTTGCAGGACTTCACATCTTTAACTTGATATTGTGCTTAATACTGGAGGTTAAATAGGTTGAGTTAGAAGCTCCTACTAGTTTGGCAGAAACCTTGGATTAGTAAAATTTGTTGTTTAAATCATCATACAAAATAGCTGTTTACTTGTGATCCAGGGTGAGTAAAAGAGTGTGGCTGAATATGAAAGAGGAAAGATTTTATTTGTTTTACGTCCTATTATCTTTTTGAAAGAAAGTTTATCTTTTTTAAAATTTAAATTCCAGGGCCAGTACTATGTATTTTATTTATGAAGTTTGTGAATTATTTGTAATATGTCCACTATGTGTAAAGGCGTAGAAATATTTCCCAACTGTGATTGTATATTATTAATACTTTGTCCTTTACATCACCACAACTTTTCTATAGATTACTGTGCATTCACCAAATGGTGGGGTTCCTCCTGCTAGTTACTAATCAATTACTTGGTTCACTTACTGATTTTTCATATTGGTCTAATGGCCTTATATGAAGATATGTCTAATAATATTTGTAAATTGTTAACATTTGCCATTTCTCTTTTTTAGTCTAAAGTACTTCTCAGTTTTACTTTTAAAAATTGGAGAAATTGAGGAAATGCATAAATGTCAAGCACTGGAAACAGTGTTTAGGCAAAATTTTAGGAGAAGCTATATGAGAGAGTAATAACGAAGTAGTTGTATACCAACTAAAGTAGTAACAAAAAAATAACAAATTCCTAACTATTCAAAGGGTTGGAATAATAAATTAAATCACACTTCTGTCACTAGTGAATAATGTTATTATCCTAATCTGATCATAGAATTTTGTGTATAGATTAATGAAAGATGCAAAGGCTTTATTTCAGTATTATTTTTGAATTCTCCCCACACAAAGCAGATCACTATTAAAAAATATTCTCCTGATATATTTTGTATGTGTCTCTGTAAACTCTTACCTCGTTATATTTGTATTGTAAGTATTACATGTTTATTTCTCTTCTAGATTGTGGATGACTTTACCTATTTTAGAATCCTTCTGCCTTAGCATGGAATCTACACATTGGTAGTTACTTAGTAAATTCTTATGGACTGTATGCTAGATAATGTTAAAAAAAATTCTAATATTTCTTTAAATAAAATGACAGTTATTGAGTTATTGTAGATCAATTGTGGAAAATGCTTATACTGTCTTAGGTCTGTCCACTTTTTTCCTGAGAAGTATCTATGATCTTTTCAAACACCTTTTATCATTCTTGAGATCTGAGAATGAGTCTTAAGAATTCTAAGCCTTAGATCCATTTCTGTCATTTAGCAGCTATTGTGTGATTTCCTTAACTTTTCTCATTTTAATGTTTTCCATTTATTTTTGAACCATATTATTTTACTTTTATTGTTTGCAATACTGCTGGCATTAACCCAGAGACAGCAAGACCGAGTTTCTATTTATTGCTCTTTTACACCAAGAAACATACACAATAATCCCTTGTTCAAGTTTTGTCTACCACTTAAGAAAATTATTCCTGGGGCAAGGTTTGAGAATTCTAAAGTGATATTTCATAGTCTGTATATCTCACTGGGATCTTACTGGTCAAAGGAAGCTCCAACTTTTGAACATTTTCACTTTTGGAAACCCAAATATTTCTAAATTGACATATAGATTTCACACAGTGGTGCTTCCTGACAACCATCTGTTTTGGTAGCTTTTGTATTGTTGTATGAATAGCAGTGTTTGGTGATCATTTAAGTATGTTCTTGCAAAATGCCCCTGATTTTTCATAAAAATGAAAGTCTTAACTTCTAGTTAAAACATAGTTGAAAAACATTAGATAGGTTAACAACTACATATCTACAGTCTCAATTAGCTGCTTACTGGATTTAGTTGATGGTGCATATATGAATGAAAAGAACAAACTTAGGCCCAGAAGCAGGCAAGAAGCAGAGCTTGCCCAGGATCCTAGGGAGGAGCTAAGAACAGCATCCCCCTCCTGGAAGCAGTCAGCAGCATGCTGAAAACACCACTTCTGCATGGGTGGCCCGCCACAGGCACCATCATAGCAACAGCTGCTGCACAAATGGCTTGACACTGCAGAAATGGCTTGACACAGCATTAACCACAGCCATCGTTCAGGTGGCCCACCAGACACTCAACTGCATTGACGTGAGGAGAATCACTAGTGTAGACTGGAAAAAGAAGAGGATGTCTCTCTCTTCATAGCCTACTCCAGAGTAATAGAAGAGGAAACTGCTCTACCAGATGATCAGACATCAACGTAGAGATACTGAAAATATGAAAACCCAAAGAAATATGACACCACCAAAATAATACAGTAATTTTCAAATACCAGACCCAATAGAGCAGGAAACCCTTGGAATAACTGAAAAGAAATTCTGAGCCACAATCTTAAGGAAGCTCACTGAGGTATGAGAAGACTCAGTTAGACAACATAATGAAATGAGAAAAAAAATCCAGGATATGAAGGAGGAAATTACAAAGTGATCAATATCTTAAAAGAATGAAGCAGCACTCATGGAACTGAAAGATTCACAAAATGAAATAAAAAACACAACCAATTGCTTGAGCAGCAGGCTAGAACAAGCAGAAGAAAGAATTTCTGATCTTGAAGATAGTCTTTTTGAAATAACCCAGGCAGAATAAAAAAAGGAAAAGAATTTTAAAAAATGAAGAAAATCTAAGAGCACTAGCAGACAACCTCAAGCACACTAACATTCAAATTAGGAGTGTTCTAGAAGGGGAGGAGAGAAGAAAAGAATTAAAAACCTATTCAACCAAATAATAATGGAAAACTTTCCAGGCATAGGGAGAGACACTGACCTTCAGATCCAGGAGACTCATAGATGCCCAAACAGATTCATTCCCAAAAGATCCTCTCCAAGACACATTATAGTCAAACTGGCAAAACTCAAAGACAAAGGGAGAATCTTAAAAGGAGTAAGAGAAAAGTGTTAAGTCACCCATAAGGGAACCCCATCAGACTAACAGAAGACTTCTCAACAGAAACTCTACAGACCAGAAGAAAATGGGATGATATGTCCAAAATACTAAAAGAAGAAAACTGCCAGCCAAGAATATTTTCCCAGCAAGGCTATCCTTCAGAAGTGAGGGAAAAATAGTGTATTTCACAAACAAAAACTGTAGGAGTTCACCACCACATGACCAGCCCTGAAAAAATCCTCAAGGAAGTCCTGCATCTGGAATCCAGAAAACAATAATCACTACCACAAACACAAGAGAGAACAAAACACACTGGTAGAACAAAACTGCAAATGAGAAAGAGAAAG